CCCCCCGGGTATGAGTTTATTGGGTGCAGAATGATAATTTCATTTGTGTGAAATTATTTCATGAACAAATCAATTCTGAAGTGCCAATTCTGCTGGTCATGTTAAATATCTTATCACGAGGGTAATATATTTATTGTTTGCTGTTTATTGTTTTATGTACTTGTGCTTGTACACTGAATTTCAATAAAAAAATATTACATAACACAGCTGAACAACGGCAAAGACAAAGCCGTATTCGCAGTGTCAATAAATTAACGCAGCTCCTCACAAACATAGTCACTCCTGCACCAACACACGACATACAAAACATAAACAACATTGTTCCCAAAAAAGGAAGCAATGCACATGAACAGCACAGCACGTCAAACAAACACAACAACAAATCAATAGTGTTTTTCTTTCTTTTTATTCGGTTATTTACTCTTTTCCTTGCTCTCCAAGCGCAGGCGTGTTACAACGCCTGATGGTATGCAATGACATTTGCTTTTAACTGCATTTCAACGCTGATAAGCAATTTGATAAAAGAAAACTGAAGCATTTGTAAATGTTTATTAATACTACCAAAATAGGGTTGCCAAGGGTTTGGTTTTATATTTTTCTATATTATAATTCAATTGCTATTAAACTAGAAAAAATTAAATTAAAGAGAATCATAGCAATGACTAATGTAACCGTAATTGAGTTGTAAATCAGATTCAACTACAAAACATGAGGATATTTAGTATCTTTTCTTTAAACAAAGATATTTTAATTTGCTTTTGTGTCTATGATAAAGTCTTGAGGAATATATGTAAAAATTCTGAATACTATTTGATGCTCGATTTATAGAAATCGTGGCTTTATGATCGTAACGGTTCTTTTTTTTCAAAAATAGCTTAAGCTGTTTCTATTGAGTGCTTATTTCTACTGAAGGTTCGGGTAAGATTACAACAGATTATTGTATATTTTGGGATTCAGTGGTATATATTTCAAAATTTGAAATCAGTCTATCCATCAACTGTTGCATATCAAGTGAAAAAGTAGGTTTTCGAAAGTCATATTTAAAGACTTATGGTAGCACAATATTAAAAACAAATGTTTGTAAGTAATACTTTTGTCTTAATAGTAAAAAAATTCGGCACATTTTGAATAAAGAAAACACAATATATTCATCCATAAAAATTACCATAAAAAATACATGGATTTGTGGCATAATTAAGTAGCAAGTTCAAAATTAAGAACATCAGAATGCGATCATTAATTACATCCAAAACTGTACAAAAACAAACTTACACAGTACTATCTTTATTGGTTAGAAAATGTTAACATCTCTTATCTGATGTGGTTGCTACGAATAAAATAACGTTCATCTGAATATCGAACCATAAGGAATTCAATGATAGTCATACAGCTTACTGGTTACGACACAACTATACACTTAAATCTTTGGTGCTTGAAAATTTCATTGCGAATAAATTATCAATCGTCTTGAGACCTAGCCATAATGGGATCAATGATAGTGATTCAGTTATCAAACTAATGAAGAAGAATCTGCTTATGTATTTAATAAGAAAGCGATATCTACTTCTTGGGCAAGGAAAGTATTTACCAACATGGGATATTCGTTATTTGAGAAGATATGTGGTATGCTTATTCTTAGTATTTTATGGAATCCAAATAGAACATTCAATTCAATATTTCTCTCTTCATATGTCTAAACTTAGATTAGTCACTGGTTTCTTAGCTGGGTAAACGTCATTTAACTAGTACCACCATTCAAAGTTGGATTTTTGAAATACTGACATCTCAGATACTGTGGTATATAAGAAACTTTCATACAACTTGTCTCCTCATGCTCAGCGATTTCATATCTCTGTATGTTTTAATATTATTTTAGTTGCCAATAGCCTTAGACGGCAGGGATAAAATTTCATATTTTTATTAGCGATAGCAGAGTACAGCCTATAGTTCGCAACATATTATTGTCTCTTTTAATAACTATGGGAGGGTAAATATGCTCTAGGTAATTTTTAGTTTGCTTTGAAATTATGCTTTAAGTTATTTATGTTGATTTCTCTGACAAGAAAGTTTTCAGTGACACTATTAATTCCAGAAATGCAGCTATTAATTGTCCCGCTAGATTATTATAATCGCTAGAGAATTTTCAGGTTTTGAAGTCTTGTATTTATGCAGACAATGATCAGTCCAAATTTGGCAGCCGATTAATTTGTTTAAAATGTTTTTGTTTCTTTTCAAATGAAAGATCTTCATTAGTCAAAAATATTTTTTGTATTATCGTTTCGAATAATTCAGATATTTTTACTTTTGATATTCCTCTATTTAAGTTGTCATGATAAACATATTTTCTAACAGAATGATTCCTAAAAATTGCAGACTATTTGTTCTTTACACCAAAATAAGATATCACTTCCATTAAGAACTTAGCACTTGGCTTTTTGCTAACTTTTTATACATTTGGAAATATGGATTAAATAGAAGTTTTGCTATAACGAACCAGTTTATAGAGATATTTTATTATCTGTTTGATCTCATCAATCACTACATATATTATCACGTTCATACTTTTGTGAATAGAAGCTCATAATATTTGAACTTTGAAAACCGTTGACGAAATATAGTTAACCAACTATGTTACATATTCTTGATCAACATAATGTAACAAATCATTGTATTCCAATCTGTGTGTGTGTTTATCTGATATACAATAAATAAACCTCTCTGGTTAAGCAGAATTAAACTTTTAAAAGAATTTTTATGGCGTCAGGCAGAACAGATTAAAACTCATTAGCGAAACTCCTGATTGATTTAATGAGATTAATTAATAAATGTTTGACTATCCACACAGAGAATCTGCGTTCTCCTTTTAATACTCATTCTAAAAGCTGTAGAAACTTGCAACAAAAAGAAACAATTAAACATTTTCTCTGTGAATACACAGCTCTGCCATCCACAGGACTCAGGTTTTTAGAGTAGTATTTTTTTGATAATTTGTCAGACTGTTCATAAATAAGGACGAAAGATTAATTAAATTATCTAAATTTTACTAGACGGATTGAGTTTTTGTCTTTATTACTATATATAAAAGTTTCTGTAAGGAATGTGGTAATAACACGGCGGATAATTGCTAATTGTTGTCAGCGGTAGGATACCTGCCAACCAATCCCTAAGTTTCATCTTTGAACAGAACAGTATGCACAACAACCCATCCTTCTTCTCTATCCAATAACACAATGACTACGATAGTCGTTGTATATCATATTTACTGTCACACGATAACTCATTTATTCTCTTCATTCCTTTTTTTTTTCATCACATACTAATCTACACTCATAAAATTTTGTTTCCGTCTTATTGTTTTCTCAAAATCCAGTAAATTAAGTGCCGAAATACCGCTTGAAAAATTACTTAACAAATCCATTAATTTATCTCGAACTGATAAACTAATTGGGAGTACTACAAGGTGAACATGCTTGGATACTTCAAGGCCTAGTTGATCATAGGATTTTATAAAGAAGAAAATGAATATTTTTTTGGGTTCTCACTTATTGCAGGAATGCACATTCTCTGAAAGGAACCGATCAACAATTTGAGAAAATCCATGTCTGCAGCTTTCGGCGAATAATCGAAAACTAATAATACGTAAAATATGAGTACATAAATATTGCATCAAAAGCATTTTCGATAAAGTAATGAGAATTTGTTCCGATTCCTGAATACTTGTTCAAAAACACCATTTTCAAGAGAATATTAAACCCTTAGGTTGGCAGACATCGAATTAGGAGATTCGGCAGAAAATACAACTGACTCGTTATCGGTCAACGGTCTATAGAGTAACTGAAATTTCTAATGTAATATTTATATACATATAAATGAAAGTGTCTTGACTATGACGAACTTCTCAATCCGGAACACATATGTGTAAGAAACCCTTTTTACTTATAAAGCATTAGTTTGACCGACAGTAACGACAAGAAGGGTAGACTGAAAACGCAACTGACCCATGAGCGGTCTATGTAGAATCTGTTTTTGATTCATTATAGAACATATCTTTAACAGATATATGTTTAAACATTCCAAGTTTTAAATTAATTGTTCATTTCATATTGTTTAAAAACGTAAAAACACAATGTTCTTTCCTAAAATGTTTCTAAACATAAATTTTCATCCATTTGTTTAAATTTAAATAATCAGTTCGTTGAAATATTAACTTAATTTCCCCTCTCCCTAATTCACAATCTTGTCAAGATTTCCCCTATTTTATAACAAATTGAATTTGACAATTGGGGACAAAGACAAGTGAATATGAATTCATCATAAATAAATCTGAGCAGTACTCGACGGCAGACTTACTCACAATTTTTGTATCATTTTTGAGACAAATTTTACATAACGTATGAGTAACACATTTTTACTACTTTCTGCACTTCGTCTCTGTCACACATGCGATGGCAGTCATAATGCCTATTCATGTGCACATTTCAACTTTGTTACAACAAATGTTTACAGCCAAAGTCGTGGATACTTTTGTACATAATTTGTTGTTATCGGCTTCGGCTTTTACAGTAACAAACAAACTAGCCTCGTACAACCGAACGGCTAAAATGAAACAAAAAATTTGGTGAAATTCGTGTGAAAAACTTGAGTCAGTCTAAGTTTTGTTACAAATTCAATGAGTGATAGAGTAACAAAATTGAGTGCTTATTGTTTGTTTGTTATTGCCGAGCTCGTGTTCGACTCATTATTTGTAGGTGTGTTGTTGTTTGTTTTGGTCTGATTTGCACTGAGACTGCTCAAATTCGCATGGAAAGAGTCAATTTTCTCACGCTTATCTCTGTTTTACCGAAATGCGAAATGAAAACATTTGTTTTCTTTATTCGATTTGTGTGGCTTTTTTTTCGTTTTCGTTTTTTTGACAAAACTACGAATGTACACGAACGCATGCTTCCGACACGACGTTGGTAGGTACACAAATGCGAGCCCTACTAAATGGTTCAGTTTAGGAGCAGTTGTGTCTTGTAGAAGAGTGCGAACGAACCTCAGAAGCTCAGTGAAAAACAGATAGAAAAGTGTTCCTCAGCTCTATAAAAAGTTCACCTTTAGCAAAAAAGTAAAAATATATAAACAAGTATAGAACGTAAAAGTAAAAAAAAAGTTGAAATAAATAAAAGAGACTTCAACACTTCAGTCAAGACTAAAGTTATAAGCCACCAGGCGCTGGAAGTACTATTTACTGTACTGTAAATAGTTGTGAGCCGAGATAATAACGGCAAGAACAATATAACCAAAGCGGCAGGAGTAGAAACATTTTAATTTTTTTCCAACTATTCCTTTCCACTTTCTCCGGTTAGTATTGGTTACAACTTTACTATATATATTCATAAGTTTTATATAACAACTTTTGTAAGTTAATTGTGCATTCATGCGTTTGTTTTGAGACGTTTGTGTGTGCACCTTTTTGTTTGAGTGCAAATGTATTTACATAAATGAAGCGATAAAGTGTGTTGTTTACCAAAGCAATGTGAACTACAATGACAATATAAACAAAATGCCAAACATATGGCGTTGTTGACTTTCATACGTTCGTTATTCAAATATTTACCAAAGTGTAAATGCCAGAAATTGATTTATATACATTTCTACTATATATGCTAAAGAAAAAATTTATAAACAAAATTTAGTTAAGCGATTACGTTTCCATTACGTCTAAGTAACGAAAGAATTTAAATTTATGTTTTTTACTGCTATTTCCGTTTATCTAAATTAAATTGTAGCAAACGAATCGATTTTCTTAAATTTTCACAACACAAAATAACGTTTTACTGCATAAAATAACCTAAAAGTATGCCACAGAAATGTGCTCATTTATTTCTTTCACAAAATATATTTTTGTTTTGCATTTTGCACATAAACTTCAAATGTCGTACTACGGTGCACGTTTTTCCATTCCTATTCCGTTCCCTTCATCGTACTATGCTCTACACATTAACAAGTTTTTTTTTGCCATTTCCATTTCTGTTCTATTTTGTTTTGTTTTTATTGTATATCTTTTGTATTTCTTTTATATTTTGCCGTATATTTCAGCAAAATTGTGTCAGTGTTTTGTTTAGCTCTGCTCGCTTGTATGTGTTTGTGTGTGTGTGTTGGCACTGTTGTGTATTTTAGACAGCAAAAAACTTGGCTAAAGGTTTTTAATCCTTTTAGCAACTTCCGCACTGTCATATTTGTGCTTTCTAAGGCCATATTTGTTGGCATTAGGGAGCAGAAAGTTGAGCGCATGCTGTTTTAACTGCAGCAGCTTAAATCCTTACGCATTTGTTGGCAAAACCAGATTTAAGGAAATATAAAATATGTACTAATCCAATTAGTAACTGGGATTTAAATTTAATTTTTGTGCGTAATTATGTTAAACAAATGGAAGAAAGTAAAACAAAATATACTTTATCATATTTGCTATGTATTTTCTTACAAAGTCACTTGCTTTAAATACCAAAAAAGGATTAAAAACAATTTTTTTTTTCAGAAAGCTTAATACATCCTTTCAGTTTTTTTTCTTTCTGTCTTATAAACTTTGCATTTGACTGAGTATTACTGAGCATTTATCTCTTCCACAAAGTTACGAATTTCAAAGTTTAAATGAGTTTATTTAACTGCAGTTAAGTGTGTTGTTTATTGCAGCAAAGTTGCTGTAATCTGACAGACTTATCCACGGCAAATAAGTTATCCTTTTTCCCAAGCTCTAACGAAAATCTTATTTTCAAAAAAAATGTAAACGTTTTTATAGAGTTTATAGAGCAAAATGTTTATTTATTAAAATTAATTTGTTTTTTAGATATTTAAATTTAATTAAATATATATTGTATATAAAATTATAAACTTTTTAATAAACTTAAAAAAATTAGTTTGCAGCTGCTTTTCTCACGCAAAAGTGCAAAGCAGTTTAAAATTAATTTAATACAGAACATATATATTTTGTTGAAGATCAATTATTTTAATATAGTTAGCATAAATAGCTAACATAAATACAACTAATTAACATTCTAGTTTTCTATAATTTGTTATATATAGTATTTAACTTTCCGAGGGTTATAATATGAAAATAATTATATCCGCTTTCACATATAAGGGTTATTCTTTTACAAATGAGTTATCTTTTTGACCTCATCATCTCCGATTTTGGTAAAATTTTTTTTTATGCATTCTTTTCATAACATAAGTAGACCTGTATAAAGCCACACTCATGATATGTAGTTTTGTTAATAAATAATAATGATGATTAGCTTGAAGAAATAAAGAAATATAAATAATATATTTATTTATTTTTTTTAGTTGATATATTCTACTTATTTAAAAATAACTAAAGCCACTTAATTATAATATCACTTTCTTCACACAACTCACTTACAAGCTTACTAGAAGTTGACTGATTTTGTTTTATAAAATTATTTAAAATAAATTAATTGATTTAAATTTTAATTGTATAAATTCATATCTATTTAATGTAGTATTTCTATTAAATATGATTTTCATAATTTAACAGTCATATGTTCTAAAATCTGTAATATTTCATTTTCCGTCGGAAAATAATTATTTTGCATTTGTGTGGTTTTAAACTCCAGTATTGAGTAGTAACTTTCACAAAATATGTAATTTGTTCTATAATATCAAAAAATGTAGAATATTTGATTGATTTCATGTATTTTATTTTTTACTGCCGGTTATATTTTATATACTTTATATGAACTGCCTTATCATACTAAATATAGATCAATTACCTTCATACTTAATTTATATCAGTTTCTTTCTAGAACAGCTATAGATATATTATATACAATATATACATATACATATACACACACATATGTATATATAACTAATTATATACAACATATATATATTAGTAATATTAGTAATATAATATTACCATATTAAGAACCCTTAAAAAGGTTTCATATATTAGTAAAAGTGTCAGTTAACAGCATCAAAAAGTAGCGATATATGTTGTTGAAAAACACATTTTATTTCATTTGATTTATCTAAATGAATACACAATTATAATGTATTATAATGAATCATTATAATGCTAGAGACGATTTCCTAGGAAAGAGCAAGTCTTGCAATGTTTTCATGATTCTTTTGAGTTAATTATTTGCTATATTATCTCAGAGATAAGTTGTTACAGTAAATTTTATTTTAAAACGATCTAATAAAAGATTTTAAAAGACTTATCAAAATTAGAACAAGATCCTGCCTTTTTCACATATTAACAAAATATTTATTTGGTCTTAATCGTTTCTCTCGTCCTATATACTTCTATTAAAACAGATCGTAAATATTAATTATGTGAAAGCTCAATTGTGGGAACCTTAATAGCGAAAACTCTTATCGATCAGCATATTATTAGCGGGTTGATAGTAATATTTGAATGACTTGAAAATTCTCAGCAGTTACAAGAAAAAATAACTGTCGACATGAATCATTCGACATAATACTGTAAAATATTTGGGTCTAATACCCGATTATGCAGCGTAAGTGTACTGTATAATTGCCAACTAATATTAATAAAAAATAACAGTAAACTGTATTATAGCTAGAAATACAAATTTATTTTTTAAATGTTCATATTTCTGCTATTTGGACTAAGGTGATTAAAATTAAGATATTATGCTTCGTATTGCATAAAATGTGATAACTATTCTTTGTTTATGTATTGACCAGGACACAAAAGATAATGAAATATTTTATTTTATTATAAACAATTATACTTTTTCCCAAAGTTTTGATTTTGATAAATATATCCTGATAAATCATTAATCTATTAATTCCATGATATTTATTTTTTGAATTCTAAGAGTTATTTTAACTATTAACATATTTGTATATTGAGTGTAACAAAGTAATAATAAAAATTTTTGTTTTTTACTATTTTGAATAAAAGGTTATTAAAATATTTCAATATTGTTTCACATATGTTAAAATCTCTATAAATCTGTCAATGTACAGGTCTAAATACTTGGTAAACATCAAACAGAAGAGATGTAGAAGAGAATATATAGCATATATATATAAGAGATGTGATATATAAATAAGTATTATTTAGAAATAATGCAATTAATTTGTATTATTTTTCTTATTAAGTTTAAGAATAGCACTTAATTGTGATTATACATTGGAGCGATGGGATTGTACGAGAAAGCTTCTTTGCTTGTTTTTATATTTGCACTCTAGAAAAATACTGAATCAACAATATCTCGGGATTATCGATCTCTTATTTCCTTGCTTATAGTATATTAATTAAATACAATGCATGGTTGTTTGACAGAACCCCATCATTTTTAAATAACATTAGTCTGAAAGATGTGTCCTCTATTGCATTAAACGGATTCCGGTAATAGGTGGCATAAAACTGATCTTATGAAATTCAATTCCAATTTAAGAAATATTACAAGTTTACGCAATCATCCGAAGTTAGCTAAGTATTTTCTTTGTTTAAAATTTATAACATTTAGTAACTTTATACTAAAGCATAGTTTTATTCGAGAATTATATATCATGTAGTGGGGCGAAGGTATATCTAGGTGCCATGTTTTTTTTTTTAATATTTCTATTGTTTAAAGCAGTCTTTTTTCTTCTATTTCTTTCTTCTTCTTTCTTCTTCTTCTACTTCTTTAGATTTTCTTATAATAACATTCTCATAATAACAAACAATGTAGAAACACACTTACATAAATTTATTCTTTTAACACTGTATTTTGGACATTTCAGTTAAATAACATGACAGGATTTATGTAAATAGGTCACTATTTATTCGCTAAAGTTTGGTAATAAAATCCCTACCTTTAGTACTAAGTAGTGGCTTATCAGTTTGAGTTCGCATGTAGTTTTTTATATCTTACTTAAAAGTATTTCTCGATCCATTTGGACAAATAGAATACTCTATTCTCTATTCTCAGCATAGAATAATATCAATTAAAAACCAGGAGTTAAAGTAATGAATTTTATCAGATCAGTAACTTTCCTGTAACTCTTTTATGTCATTATTACTATAAATATAATTTGAAATGCTTTTTATAGAGTTTTTGCTATACAACATATATCTAAAGTGCTTATGCACCGCAAACTACGATTTTTTCCAACATTAATTGAATCAAGCCTTACTCTTAACACAGCTGAATAAAAATAAATTTTATTTAGTTTATTGAGTTTTTCCTTTAAAATGTACAAATAATTGAATTTGGTCTCCAACGTCTACTTGAAGCTCGTTTAGCATAATTTTATAGTTTGAGTGCTTTTAGAAGCACATACTATACTTTAGTATAGTATGCAATGCAACTGAATGAGTGGCATTATACGTAACAACAATGGCAATCCAAAAGACCGTGACATTCAGGCACGCTTGTTTTGCGATTTGTGTTTAGAAACCATGTCCTTTGAAGCACAACTAAAGGACACAATACAACGACAACAACATTTTTAACTGCCACAACAAATAAGAACAAAAACACTGAGTTTATATGAAGCAGGCAATATCAGACACAAAACCACAGAACACAGAACATAGAAGATAAAAAATGAGAGTAAAAAAAAATGAAAAAAAAGGAAGAAAGAAAAAGCACTGTAACTAAAGAAACACAAAAGGAACTTAACAAATAAAGGAAGTACAAATAGGCTGATAAAAGGAGGCAGAGAATAGCCATAAAAACTTTCAAAAACAGTGTAGAAAAAACTAGAATTAGTAAGTTAATCTAGAAATGAAGGAATTTGTGAATGTGTTAGTGTGTGGCATATTGTATTTTTGGGGTTTCTGACAGACCTAAATAGCCGGAAGTGCGGTTGTTGTTTCCTTTAATGTTTAAAGTACATATTAGATTACTGACAATGAAAAGTGATGGCATAAAAGAAAAACAAAACTTTCTAAGATTGCTAGAAGAGATAAAATATTGTCGAGGTTTTAATAATGACAAATACTTAATAGTAAAAAAAATTTTTTAAGAAAAGAAAAATTAAGAGTTTTTTTTCTTTTCTTTTTTCATTAATTTCAGTTTATGATGTCACTTAATTGCTAACATGGGATATACACACAACTAATAACATTTCTTAATAAATTGTTTCAATTAAATAAAAAGCGTTAATTAGTGTAGAAAATGAATTAACAAATTATAATTTGTTGAGATATATACAATAATTTTTGATTAAAATTACACTAAATGAGAATAATCATATTTGATTTCATAATTTTTAATAAAAATTTTTTATAACAATAAATTTTTTAGTAATAAAATTATTTTCTATTTATGATAAGTACTAACTGCAATACTATTTTTCGTATTTCTCAATTGAATCACCACCTCATAAAAAACATTAATTTTTTCTGAAACGCCTTATACTGTATTATATATAATAATTTCTGTTTCTGAAAAATTCTTTAAAAAATTTGCATACTTTTCTGATATGTCAATATTATCAAACAGAAGAATATTTTATTTAGACAAAGTATATAAATAGCTATATATAATTAGCATTATACGAATGTCAAATAAGTTAATATAAATGCAACATAAATGCTAAGTACGAAACCGATTTCCTGGGCAATAACATATATATCAGTAAAGACAGCTATTTTATACAGCTTTCCTACTACGCATTCTATCAATATAACCTAATTCTCAAGACATTGAGCTACAAAACTGAAAATTTTCACATCAAACCCCTAAATAGACGTATTCTTGTCTTGTCTTCTTGTGCTTTCATACAATAGTTAGTGTTTAATCCACTTTTACTCTCTAACGCTATGTTTACACTCATCAAATCTCTAAAATATTTTTATATGAATTATGTAGAAAAAATTACACAAATTGCTGCATATTCGTCGAATTAATTATATAGTCCTTATATTTTTAAAATGATTACCTACCATGAAGCCTGAAGACACGTACCAATATAATGTGGCGATAAATACCATCACTAAAATTCATAGAAACTCCACTAATATCAATTGAAACTATATGTAAGCCTTAAGGTTCAGAGTTTTAAACAGCATGCATCTCTTCCTTATTATGTCTATTTCTTAAAGATTTTAAGTTGAAAGTTAATAGTACATATAGTACATTTCACTTTGGACTTTCACTTGATAAAGCAGATGTCTTGGATAATGATTTTTTTTCAGGTAATTAATTGAGTTCTCTTTGAATTGACTTTAATTTGTCTGCGACTTAAGTATGGAACTTGTCTCTTGAATCTCAGTTTTGTATATTTCTAAACTATTTGTGATAGACTCCACGCTTTTACTATGTTGAATGTTTTAGGTATGATAAGCAAACAAAATTAAAGTGCTTCCATCTACACTGGAAAAGGCAGCAATATGAAATCGGAGCTACGGAAGATCATTTGGACACTTAGCTATAATTTTATTTATTACAGGGCAGTTATCATCAATTTTTATTTTCAAGAATCTGTTATTAACGAAACGATTGACAAATTTGAGTTGATTTTTTTAGGAACAAAAGACCTCAGAGCTTGAGTTCAAAAGACCTCAGTATGCCACTTTTTATCATATTACTTATCATAATATTGCTATATTGCTTTGGCAATATCAGACATTACCTTTTGTCTTTTGCGGTGAAAACCAATTAAAAAATTTTTAAGTTTTTCACTATTGACTATGTAATCAATGTTAAAATTCTTTATACTTATTGTCAATAGATGGCGTGTGTAGTTATTGTTAATATAATCAATGTATGAAGTAAATAACCTAAGGTATAGATAGCTTGAGAATAAAACTATACCCATATATAGCTTGCTACGAAAAAGTGGTCAAAATACCGGACTGAATTAAAATTCGTTGTAAAGTTTGATTGTGCAGAATATCATAATGACATCCTGGTAATAATTAAATACAAGAATTATTTCCAAGATCACTGATGATGGATATTTGGCAGTACTCGAAACACCTGTATGGTCAGCCAAAAATTCAATTAATTAAAATAATATAAAAATGAATTTTTGTTGCTGTAGTTCACTACTTCTCGAAAAACCTTTTTATCAAAAAAAGTTTTAATTTAAAACTTTACGATTTTTAAAATAAATTTGTTTCACTTTTCATTCATTTAAATTTTTTAATTTTAATTTTTGTATACAAAGCTATTAAAATCTGTTTCTTAAGACAAATTTATTATTTTTATTTTCTATAGAAACACAAACTAATAACACATTTAATATAATATATAAAACTTCTTCTTATCTTTACAGAATCTATCTTGTTACTCTACTATCCTGAAGAGTTTTTACTCACGTACTTAACTCCTTGCTAAACTGTGCTTGAACACATTATTTTCTCATATTTCAAAAACAACTTTATAAGCTAAGTAATAAGGTAAGTTAAAACTTTGAAGTAATTCTTTTAGAAATTTCCAAAAATATTAAAAAATAAAGTACGAAAACTACTTCAGCTTGCTTAAGCAGCAATGTGAGCGTATAAAGTCTGTTGGCTTGGTTTCACAAACGAAAACCTTTTTTGCTAATTAAAACTGACTTATGTGAATAATGTTAAATTAATGTTTACTTAAATCCTTTTTATAAACTTTTGATTCAGCAAATTCGATAACGAAAAAAAAACCAAAACTGAATTTTTTCTTTCACTACTTAGCTGCCGTGTACCTTTTTTTACTCAAAATGCTTCATGGGATTTTCAAATACATTTTTACATTTTGAACCGCACTGACCGCATTTCATTTCCGTTTGGAGTATTTACTTTGTGTTAGCACAGTTTTCAGTTACAATCCAGCATTTCAACATTTCCACAATTGCACAGTGCCATAGTTTTCCATTTCCACTTGCATATTCATGCAGCACGAGTACGTGTATAATTTCGTAACCGTAAATCACTTAAATTAACATTTTAAGCTGAATTCGTTGCTAAAGTACATATTTTAAACCAAAGTGCAGCACAATTTATGCATTTACATAAATAAATTTTTTTTTATTGCATTTGTAATGCAAATTTCGCTGCAGCGGTGCTGTTGTGTTATATGACACGCTCTACATTGTGTGACACACTCTACGCAATTAGCGCATAACCGTCTGCATAACGCAGCTAACAGTGAGTTTAACTGTATCTTCTGTACTCAATGGCACAGCTTTTTCACTGTACCATCAGCAGCGCTGGCAGATATTTCATGAAATCCAAAATGCTGCGCGATTTTTGGTGCGTGTTGCACAACCCAATGTAATTTGCCTACAGCAGTTTGAAAATATTGCACACACTGAGGCATTTAATTCTGTATTACAATTCCATGTGGCCAATTACTGCCTACTTCGAAAGGAATTAAACGTTATAAATTGAAAGAAGAAAGTAATTGAATCGTGAATGACGCCGGAATATCATTGCCTGCTTTTGGGCGCAACGGTGCGTATGAGTAACATTCATGCTACTGTTCAAATTCACTTGTATATTTACGTGGTTGTATAAATATTTTTGGAATGTCGATATAAGTGATTAATTGTATACATTTGCACATTGCTCTCATATCGCTAGGTCTATGTAGTGATTTTTAGGATTTAAGTTGAGACAAAAAATATTATTTTTAATAGAATATGCACATTTATATATTAGGCTTTTAGGCCAAAATTTTTTTAATCAAGTTAATGCTTTACCTGCAAATTCAAGTCAAAGCATAATTCTTTAGTTAAACTTGAGGCATTTTGTTTAACTTACATATATTAAATTCAATCGACGTATATTTTTTTAAGTGAAGTTATTAAAAAACATTAAATTATATGTAGTTTGGGTCTGTGTGGTAATGTGCGCATCAATGATTCTATTTTGATCAGTTTGAGTTCCTAACACTTATAGTCCAAAAATTACATAGTGGTAATTCTTTTATTTTTGGTTCAAGTCCGCTTTGTTTAATACAATTTGTCTAATTTAATTTGTTAATAAATAATAAGTTTGATGAAGTTATTCAAAATTTAAACAAAGACGCGTATTTTATATCTTTGGTGCATCATTATTCCTATTAAAAGGTTCCTGTTTAACATCAGCTCTACTACAAGCGGGTTTTGCTGATTAATTATAATGTTTCTTTTCTGGTTGTTATTGAGACCGTGTGTTACTATTACGACTGAAAAACTGAAATGAGTTTTAAAATTTAAGGCTTGAAGTTTTACATTTGTTGAAATTGTGAATTTTCCAGTTCAATTTACGATCTAAATAAATTCCTAAGTGCTTTGTCGCTACAGGCTATGGTATCTGTGCAGAATTTGTTTGGCCAGGTAATCAAATAGATCGCAAATAGTAACATAAAACGTATATAACCTGAATAAACTTGTAACATTTAGTTGATTTGCAATTTGTGAATCAAACGACGATACTGTTCAATTGTTTGTGTTGTTCTGCATATACATCGCTTAGATTATTATTAAAGAGTAGGGTTGCTGTATCGTCTGAGAATTGATACATTTTATCTCATTTAGTAAGTCTCGTTAGTCTGCTGTCTACAAGAGGAAAACCATTTATTCTACAATGTTACCTTCAGGTAACCGAGGTCATGTATAATAAGGCAATAGCTTAAGCAGAGATATAATCTTAGTAATAAGAAGTTATTAAGCGATAAATTGCTTTTTACTTTGAGAAGAAGATTTTGATATCATTCTCGCACTCAAATATTTCTGAATCTTTGGCAGTATTCTAAACAGGTGAATTCTCAATTCAAAAACATAATTCATAATTAATAAAAAATATGTTTTATTAAAAAATAAATGGACTATACCTACTACATACGTACATATATATATTTATATATATATCTTCCTTCTAAGCTCTTACTACCTAAAACTCACGTTTGAAACACTTTCTATTATAAGCCATTCTTTCTTGTTAAAATTAGAGTGTTGCTAGATGCTTCGGCTCATATAACTAACTTTGGCAATATCAGACATATATATTCTCTCTATTCTCTCGCTACCTTAATAATAAATCAGAAAAATTTCAATGTGTTCGACTAATGTGTTCTCCTCCATACCAAGAATTTCCCAATACTCACGTTTGAAACACTTTCTATTATAAGTCATTCTCACCTTTCTCGTCAAAATTAGAGTGTTGCTAGATGCTTCGGCTCATATAGCTAACTTTGTATGTATATAGACACGATGTATTAAAAGCTTGTCTGTTATCAACATTGTGATATTTTACCAACAACTAAAGTTTTCTAAACCTGAACTTTCTCTTGTTTCTATTTTCTTACTATATCGTAACGTTTTGAAACTATGATTATGAGATTTATAACATTATAACAGTGCAGTATAGTAAATAAATGACTTAATATTGTTTTTTAAAATATCCTTTTTTCAAAATTCATACTACATCAAACTTTTCGATAATTATACTCTTAAAAGAATGTAATATAAAATGTAATCAGAGATATAAGACAGCATTTTTAATGGACTTAGTATTTTTTATAAATACTTGTTTGTACCGATTAATAGTTTAAACTGTGTCAAGATAATAGATATTAAAAACTTTCTCCTTATCATATGCCAAATATTTATGAAATGCATACAATAATACAATCACATAAAATAAGTTTGCCTTCCGTTTTCTGTGGAAAATTTTATTGCTCCCATAATGTCAGTATTGAAATAGTACCAGATCAAATGGTTTAATAAGCATTGCTCTACATATTCAATAAAATGTTGTTTACTATTCATTAAAGATTTAAGATTGTTAAAAAATATAACTTGGATCATTATTATGTTGAGCATTTTCCAAATTAGTGCATCTGGGCACTTTTAATCTTTGATAACTGGGGGGTTTCTGCAGAGTCCCACCCAACTCACTGTCTAATTTATATAATTCTCATAAGCTTCGTCGTTATTCAATGACTGATCTAAAATCTGCTTACCGCCCCGTGCGGTTAGTGATTCCTCTGAGATTAGATAGTGCTAAGTGGGGCAGCTTGTCGTTTTTCGCATATAGGTTCAGGACACTGTCCCTTATATATTTTTTGACCGAATTATAACAACAACGATTATATTGTTGTATTTTCTTAGTGGTTTTTATATCGAGTAGATGTTTTTGAAGATGAGGAACTTATGGTGATAAGCTTGCACTGCACAGTTAGGTTTTAATTTGGCTTATTATCTCTCAGTCTCCATAGCATTCTGATTAATATTTACACTTCTAAATATTAGTACAATAGCTTTCAAATAGTTTATACAGATAGTATTCCAGTTTTTTAAATTTTCAGGTTATGCTTAACAGAGGTCAACCTGAGGATTGGTAAGTTAGTTTATTGTTTCCAAGTATTAAATAATAAAATTGTTAGAAACATTTATATACAATTATAATGTTTGTCTTCTTTCACAAATAACCACGTTCCTGAGGATTGCAATTAACGCGAATCAACGTTCAGCTGATTTTTCTTGGTATTATTTTATTTATTTGATTAAATTCAAATACATACATGACTTTTTTTGTATAAAATATAGCATATTTAACTATACTACATATCACATTGGTTAACGTATTATACATTATTTCTAATATTTGAAATAAAATTAAGGCAAATGTTGTAAATACACCGGTTTTTTATTAATTTTTTTTTAAGGTATTATCAAAGACAGTTTGGTAAAATTCAGATACTTTAGATATGTATATTGTTTTATGTAATAAAAACATATACGTATATTATATAAATAAATGTATGGTTATAAAAAAAATGTTCAATTTTCAATTGGATTGATACGGAGTTATTTACTATTATAATTATATATATATATATATTATATTATATATATGTATTCTGTCTTAAAATTCTTAATTTTTCAGTAACTTAAAAACTATGATTTCAATATCTCGAAACAAGTTTTATATATAACTGAAGTCGCTTCGATCATTATAAAATTACAAAAAAAATTTTATTTAGTATTTTTTCTATATTAAATACTATTTAAATATTTTTAAAGTATTCATTGCTTACGTATTTTGTTAAGTGTTAAAAAAAAAAATACAATCTAATTATTCATTTTTGATAATATATATAAGATTTTTTTAAAAATTTTTTATATACGATACTATTCACTGTAATTTTGACTTATGTCTTCTTCATATAACCTTTATGAATAAGAGATTTGTGATTCGTTTTTAAAAAACTATGAAAGTATTTTTATTATATCAATTAATATATATAATTTAAACAACAATTAATATAAAATTTAATCAATAATCAAAAATTAAATTAATTGATTATTTTTAATTATATACAATTAATATACACAGAATCTTAAAAGTTATCAAATATTTAATAAATTTTATTACGGTTTCTTTCTTAACATTTACATGTATTTATCAAGATATCATATCGTATCATCATCCCGTCATTATCATTATCATATCATTATCATAGCATTATCGTTATCATCATTATCTAAAACATATATCAATATCACTATGTTATCACTTTATATTCAGATTTATTTTTTCTTTTATGATTATTCAATAAAATTTGGAAAATATTTAAATAACTTTGATTCAAAAAAAAAAAAAATATTTTAAACTTAATTTTTTCTAAAAATAATATAAGAATATATAATATATAATATAAGAATACTGATTCAGAGAAATTATTTGTAATAATAAATTCTGGCAATTCTGTCTGGTATCTGACACAAAGAAAAGAATTGCCAGATTTGTTAATTTACTTATTACAGAAATAAACTTCTCTTAAAGACGTCTTCGTAAAACAGACATCCCTGCAGGGTGGACAATTTTATAAAATGAGGTGTTATGATTCATTTGACCAAACATCTCTCTGGAACGGACAAATATTGACTGACGACAAAAGTCCGCTATAGAGACTTTACTATACTAAATTTTTTACATTTCTATATACAGGAGCTGAGATTAATATATATTAAGGATATATTTTTTACATTGTAAGAACGAATTTACTTTCTTTTTTTTGTCGAAATATATATTTTGTTAAATGAATTATGTCTACTTTATCTAAATAATATGTACAATGTACAAAAATTAAGCTAAAATCTATAAATTTAATTACATATAATTTTAATAACATTAATAAAGTATTTGCTATTAAATAAAATATAAAGAATATAAATAATGTAATAATTAAAAATTCCTTTTTCGTTGTCTATAATTGATTTCAAAACCCTTTATCTTCCTATTATTTAAACCGATTTTGTGCTTAATATTTTACATATTTTACTTTACCAGTTAAAAGTCTTTAATGAATTTATTATTATTTATAATAAAGCACTTATTTATATGCAGTGATTTTTCAATACATTGACAGTAAGGAACGACACGATTTTAACATTTTTAGCCTTCATGGCAAGTAATTAAAAAATAAATAAAAGAATTAAGGACTTTGTTGCGGACGGAATTAATTATTTTCTGAAAGGCAATAACCAACATCAAAGAATTACTCGTGCAGCTAACGAAACAGCAATATTTCAGAATTCAATTACTTTCATGTTTCAATGGCAAAATCGCCTATAAGTATGCTTTTATAATGATGTTATTACAACAATAATTTATTATTTATGTATATTGAGTAAATAATTGAAAAAGTAGTTATAAATAATGAGAGAGAAAAAAGAAAGTAGAATACAAGTATAACAAATTCAAAACACAGAACGACCTGATACATTTATGAGTAATATCAATGATAAAATATACGTGACGCACGTTTCGTATATTTTATTGATTACCGATAAAGAAAAAAAATAATTTGTTATACTTTTGCTTTTATTGCTATTGCTTTGTTATATATACCTAAGTATGTACATCAATTAATTATATATATGTGGGAAAAATTTTTTATCAACAGCGGTAAATGTTCAGCAAATTTATTTAAGGGGTCTTTTTTATTGTTTATAGATTAAGACTGAGCCTTTTGATTTTTTCATATTATTTTTAATAAATTTTGTGTAAGACCACATATATAGATATATATATATTCTGTTTTATACTAATTTGCTTTTACTTTGCAAGGTGATTTTTCAGCCTAAGAAACTGAAAAATCGTACTCGAGGGGGTCCATTTTCAATATTTACCGAAATACGGGATGTGAAAGACAACTCCATATAAAAGAAATTATTCAAAAACCGCCTAGTTATTAAAAAATCTTGGAGACATTTAAAGTTTCTTAACATATTTTTATTTAGATGGAGTTTCTGTTGACACTCTATACGTCAGTAAATATTGAAAATTAAATTTGTCTTTAGAAAACTGATAACGAGGTTTTCTAGTCCCCTCTGCGCATGATGCTTTTATTTGTTGAGTGGTAATGCAGAGATTGGAGCAAATATTAAACTGATGGAATGTTAAGCTTATATCATGGAAGGAGTAAAACATCCCAGCCAAGGATCCGTTTAACTTGGATAAACCACAGCACTTCTTGCTTGATTAATACAAACTTTATACTTTGTTTGTTGTAGTTATTTAGTTTTATCATTTAACTAGCTTATTCTAGTATAGAGCAGTAGTACTACAGATAGATATCCTTGCAATTTTACAAAGTTCACATTTTTTATGACTTTATTATGTAATTTTCATACAACATAACCAAAAGTCGTCCATTCCATAATGAAGATCAAGGATTCCAATCAATTGTGACGGAAATGCGATGCTTTAAACGATTTTTGGTACTAGTTTTTTTTTATAATTTGATCAACTATCAATAAAATTTGAATAGTTTGAAATATCAGGTTGAAAATTGAAATGACTTCTTTTGTTTAAGTAAATATTACTTGAAATGTGTAACACAGCATTGGTTTGAAGCATTGGTTCTACTATCGGATAAACTAATTTATAAATTGAATACATTCATTTTGCGTATATGCTGGTTCCCAAACTATGGATGTGGTAGCAGATATTAGGACGAATTAATACACTAAGGAAAAGGATTGGACATTTGGAACAAATTCCTCCCCGCGAATGACTTGTAATCGCGGGATACCTGGAATAAATGTGGGCGGTCAAGGGGGTGTTTTAGTACGTAGGCTAGTTTCAACTGGAGTTGAGGCGATGAATCGTGCATGCTAACAGTACGGGCTGTTGGTATCTATGAAGATTACACCTCCCTCGGCGTACCGAAAAACAAAAAAAAAAAGCAACACAGAACCTATACTTATATTCAACAAAGTTTGTAAGGTTTTGTCATGTATTCAATTATATTATTTTCATAGCCAATAGAATTGGTATTCATTATATTAATTTAACATTTTTTAAAATGTATGTTTTAAAATTTGCTAAAATTATTAATTCATATTTATTTTGTTATTTTCGAATAAACGCATATTTCAATATTTTTCAACCCAAAAGGTACTGTGGAACAGAAAAATCTTCAATACTTTTTGTAATAAACGAGACTATACTAATATTATCTTAACAAACGATATTGCGAGAATATAATAATTCATGGATCAATGGTGCTGATGATAACGCTCTGCGATGTTTTAATTGAGAAATATTGTTTCATTCGGTGTAACTAAATTCTAAGCCCTAGCATCTCTCAGAAATAAGCAAAAGGTCGATATACACTGCTTAAATTCAGTTTAATACCTTTTCTTACTTGGCAAAGAACTTTTATTGTTAAAAAGGAATATAAAATCAGAGCAAACGAAAATATTTTTAATAACATTCTACTTGCTTTCTTTCAACCATATCTGCCGCAGTTTTGGTGAGAATGATGAAAGCCTCCCACCTGCTTTACTTCTGTCCCGCACATGCGCAGCGTTGCCTTAAACTTTTAGAGGCTTTATTTTTTGAAGATCTTGGCGAACCTCGAGGCCTCCCTTCAAATAGCATCATAAGCTTTGCCAAAGGTTCTAGATGATTTTAGCCCTTGGGATTTTAATATTATGGCAGCACAATGGGCCTATGGGCCTAACTGGAACCTACCGACAGGATGCTTAAACTAAAATTTTCGTTAGGTTAAATTTGGTGTTTCTGTGATTTATGTCAGTTGTGGATAAAATTTAAGCAATGTGTTGATATTCATGGTAGCTGCACAGATTTTGACTTGATATAACCAATGCAGGTGAACATATTTAAGCAGAAATGTCTCATATATTCAAAACGGCTTTTGTGCAGTTTTTCTTTTGTGTTTCAATGCAAAATATGCACATAATTTCTTCGAGTTTTTTATGCAAGCATACTAATATATTTAAATTATGGAAACATTAAAAAACCTAAAACTTTTAGTTAAAAGCATAGAATAATTTAAACCATAAAAAGTTTGCACTGATATTTAATGAAGCACCAAATTTCTCTCCAGCATTTAAAAGTGCAACGCAATGAGTGTTTTTGTGCAGCTTAAAGATGGCGCATTAATGTAGCTTCCGCTTGAAATCACCACTTAAACTCTTGGAGGAAAGCAAACCAAAAAAAAAAATTATATAAATTATGCACATAAAATTTCATAAATTTTTGAAAGCGAATTCATTGCAACCAACTTAACTAAACTTAAACTAATATCAGCATTTTAGGTATATGTGCACACATACACTCAAATTAAAGGAGAAGCACCCA